GTAAAACTTCACATTTGATTTAGTGTATGTTGTATATGGCTCAAATGTCTATGTAAATGGAAATAGAGAAGCAGCACTGACCTTTAAAAGTGGAAGCAATAGAGTGTACCTTTTTGTTTGTTAATATTAATTCCATGCAAGCTAATATTCTTATTTCGCTTTTGTTCATCACTTGTTTTCATAATCAGACTCAACATTTTCTCACGATCATTATCTACTTTAGGTATGACTTGTTGGTATATCAGGAATCCCTCAGAATGATACATATCATATCAGCTTTAGCCTTCTTCAATTAGCCAGCAATCATTGCATGTGAAGGCTACATGGAAAAAAAACTCAGCCTTTACTCATTGTTAATGACATTGTAATGCTCATATCAAGAATCTAGCTTAATAATATTCTAGGAAACTTTAGTATGTCAACATACCTAAACAAACTCTCATATTTGTTTTTCCACTGGTCGTGTTCGACTTCAAACGAAAGCCATTCTTCCTCTCTGTTGCGTCCTACTTGTTATCGTGCTGCAAAAGAAGTAGGTGATAAGCGTGACACTAGTTTACTGATTGGGATTTCATTGGATTTCACAACTCATCAATGCTGCCAAGATATTTATCTCTCTCTTCTTGAATGATATGGTTCGAACAATATAGCAATTTGGGTTACTAAATCAAAGGTACCAACTTTCATCCGTCTGTTGGAGTGAGCTTCTGTTTTTAATCTTTATGAGAACTTTTTAATTTCAGGAGTCATTTTTGTGTTAGCCAAAGAGAAGAGAGTAAGAATGATTATTGTGTTTTTACAGGGAAGGATTTTACCTTCATAAACTTCTCGTGGGATTCCCTACTTTAGTAATTAACAATCGTAAACTCCGTAGTTATCACAATATTTTCTTCACATTAAATGACTTTAACTTTTACACACACACACACACGCACGCACACACGCACGCACACGCACACGCGCACACACACACACACACACACACACACACACACACACACACACACACACACACACACACACACACACACACACACACACACACACAACCACATACACCTGGCTAAATCTACAGAATGACGGATTGAGAGTATACTGGAGCTGGCTGCCCAGTTTTTATAAAGCACCAGGAATCTAAATAACTGCTAAAAGTTTTCTTTTAAGAATCAGAAAAAACTTTGACCTTTGACATTTTACAGAATGTAAAGTATGCAGGGATGAAATTAAATGCCTGACCTACAACTTAGTAATTCCTTAAAAAAGTCTTCAGAGTTGTTACTCTTCTAAAATGTAACACAGGGCTAAAGACAGCGCTGGCTGGATCTGATTGAAGAGGTTTTAATCTTGATCTTCGGTCATCCAGTAAGATAAGTCTATTTCCCTTAAGTCTTAATCAAGACCAACGAGTCATACATTCATGCATGTGTTTTAGAGCAATGATCTCATGCTATGCTACTTAACATGTAGTCAGAACTACTTCACTGCCACTCCTTGACTGTATGAACACTACAACTATTTTTATATGAGACTTTATATGTATTTCCCAACTTTCCACAATCATTGTTGATTTCTTACTATCTTATTCCTGTTCCCAATTTTCGATTTGTCATTGTCGTCACAAGGTGGTTCATTTTGAAATGAGTCTATGATACTTAACGATAAAGAGATAAGGTCACAAAGGGCCGTGTACACAGAAAGTATCCAAATCACGCCCAAGGTGTAATGTCTGTGTTGGTTATTCTTACAATATGCAATTACTTCCTGGAAATTTTTCTTTGTGCAAGGCATCCACCTGTCAGTCATATATCCGGGTTTAGAATATAACTATTCAATGCAATTATTCAGCTCCCACTGTTTGTACGGCTGGTGAAGCTGCCCTCTGGCCCCCTCTCTTCCCTCATAAATACAAAGCGGAGAGTGGGATCAGGCTAAATGGGAGCAGGCTAAATGGGAACAGGCCTCACATCACCACACTGAAGGCAGCTCTTTCCTTTAAGAAGTTCAAATTAAGTTGGCAGCACTTTTGATTTCTGTGTTGTAAACATTTACCTGTTTTTTAACTGCCGAATCACACCTTTTGTCTACTTATGCGCACCCAATGTTAAATGTTTATTCAAGACACAATCTCTTAAATAAAAATGTAAATATACATTTAACGGTCTGTCATCAGAGCTGAAACTACTAAGATTTTTGCAATATCACATGTTGGAAAAGTTGTCCTCTTATAAATTAAAGACTAACAGCAGCAGTACTGGGGAAAATGAACTTTTGTTCTTACCTCCTGTCATTATAGTGGACAAATATGTTGGTATTTGGCAAATTTGAGTAAAATCATAAAATTACACAAACATCACAGTACACAGCAAGCTTCCTTTAGAAAGACACTAAGCTAGTGTTCAAGGTTCCCATTTGATGTTAATGAAAGTATGTGATTATATTAGTATATTGACATGGAAATATGCTAATTAATGCATTTTTTTTTTCCATCAGTAATTAGCATGCATATCGTAAGCTGCTAGACTGTGATATGGATGTTACACAGCTTAATGCAGTTATAATGAGTATTTGTATGTTAACAATGGATCAAATGATTACTTGTATGTGAAAGGTGTTGCTTGTCGTTACGACCCGCATAATCAACTCTCAGTATCTCTCATCTCTTTGGAGCACTTTAGTGTATTTTGGCTAATTGTTTCTAAATTATGGTCCACAGTTTTTTTTTTTCTAAATGTACTTTTGGGGCTTTTTTATTTAATTTACTATTCAGTACTCTAATGTTACACAGGAAAGGGGTAGAGAGGGGGAAGGACATGTACCACCAGCAAAGGGCCACTAGCAGCTATAGTAAGTACTCAGCCTTAGTCATTTTCCCCCTACTTTACAAGGTGAGCTACCTGGCACCATCTTAGATGTCTGGTTCAATTTCACCACACAGCAGCAGCAGACCTATAATAATCCACCACCTCTATATTCTTATTCTAATGCTGTACAGCACACATTGATTCTTTTTGTGCTTTATTTTTTCTGCAGGAATGACAACAACAGATCCCATCACACAAAATGTCTCCACCGATGGAGGAATGATTGATAAGACATCCACCAGTCCTGCAACATCACACATGAGCTTAACTGAAAGTTCAAATCCGAGCAGCAGTCTTGTAACTTCACCACCATCCACTACAGAGCACTTCACAGCCTCAGTAGCTACTGTAACTATAGAAAATGCCACTGCAGAATCTACTACTATGGAACCAGACTCCACCCATGCAGAGACTACCTTCTCCCAGCCCTTTACTGAGTCCAGTACCTCCACAGCAGCAGTCAGCAGCACCATAAATGACAGTTACTTTACCACCGGCAGCCCAACTGACTCTCCATCAGCTCCAACCAGCAGTACAACGCTGTCCACTACAAGCCCTGAGACAAGCCAACCCACCAACACTAGTGAGACCACAAATTCAAACACTACACCTGCTTCAGATCACACATTGACATCTAGAACACAAACCACAAGCACCAGCAACGGACAATCCACCATTTCACCAATTACAAGCATTGACACAACTACACTTACGCCGTTTACAACCAACAACAGAACTACAAACACGCCAATCACAAACAACGACACAACTACGAACACGCCAATCACAAGCGACGAAACTACTACAATTACGGCAATTACAAGTGACCACACAACTACCATTATACCAATTACAAGTGACCACACAACTACCATTATACCAATTACAAGCGACGACACAACTACCATCATACCAATTACAAGCAACGACACAACTACCATTATACCAATTACAAGCAACGACACAACTACCATTATACCAATTACAAGCAACGACACAACTACCATTATACCAATTACAAGCAACGACACAACTACCATTATACCAATTACAAGCGACGACACAACTACCATTATACCAATTACAAGC